CACTCCCAGGACAGGGACAGCACGGGGTTAGATACAGAGTAAAGCTCTCTCTACACTGTCCCCCAAAATCAAACACTCCCAGCAGGGGGTTAATTATTCAGTGAAATGAAAGCTTTGGGTTTTGGAAGAGAACACTCCTTTATGAAGAACTGAACTCCCTAGCAACGGATGTAACTCCCATAACCTGATATCCAACTGGTTCCAGTTTTCAAACAGAATCCAACACAAATGGAATGCCAACTCCTGATCCAAGCATGCTGTGATCCCAGAGTAAGAGAGAAACTCAGTGAACGACGGTGTTGCTCGCTGTGTGGCAGTCACAGGGAGAAGGAACTGAGTTGGAACATTCTCATGTCAGAGTCAGACTCACCAGCTGAGTGGAACTTTCGAAGATGAGGAATCTGTGAGGTTCTGGGGCGTTAATACCTGCTGCTTCCTCATTCCTAGTTAATCCATTACTAGCTCTACCAGTTCCACAACAACGTTTTGTTCTCCTCCACTCTGCTCCAGGGGGAATATACCCCTGCTCCTCCCCATCACAGAGACCCTTATCAACATGAAAGGATTTCCCTGGGTAGGGTAGGGACCAATCTGCTATCCAACATCCCGTTAAACCATGTCCCAGATCAAGAGTCTGTCTGGCAAAGGAACCCCATGCGCTCTTACCCCTTCGTCAGAATGTCAACATATTGAGACCTAGTATCCTGGTCAACATTCCCAGTGCTAGAACTGAGGGAATGCTACACTGTCAGAGGGTCAGTGCTGAGGGAGTTCTGCACAGTCAGCGTGTCAGTGCTGAGGGAGTGCCGCACTGTTGGAGGGTCAGTGTTGAGGGAGTGCCGCACTGTCAGAGGGTCAGTACTGAGGGAATGCCGCACTGTCAAAGGGTCAGTACTGAGGGAGTGCCGCACTGTCAGAGGGTCAGTGCTGAGGGAGTGCCGCACTGTCGGAGGGTCAGTACCGAAGGAGTGCCGCACTGTCGGAGGGTCAGTGCTGAGGGAGTGCTGCACTGTCGGAGGGTCAGTGCTGAGGGAGTGCCGCACTGTCGGAGGGTCAGTGCTGAGGGAGTGCCGCACTGTCGGAGGGTCAGTGCTGAGGGAGTGCCGCACTGTCGGAGGGTCAGTGCTGAGGGAGTGC